GGCTCTTCTCAGTATTACTCACTATATTATACCAATTAGTACCAGCGATAAGAAGCAGACATTTGTGGTCAAAGACAACCAGGCCCTTCATATCTTCCCCTCTAAACGGCCAAATCTCACAGTCATTAACAAGGACAGAGTTACACAGTACACATTTCTCTTGATCGATACCGGGATATCACGTCTACGTTAGAGATAAAGTCAGTTGGCAAATGCCCCATTAACCTATTGTATCTGCATGGAGGCTAGGGTAGATGCAACTTCCAAAATAAATGAAGCACTCAGTATGCTCTGCCTATTCACTCTCTTTAAATCAGTAGTCGACAAAGACAAGTCCTGCAGAACCACCTGACATTTGAAAGATGCGAATCGGGTGTCTCTGAACTATAGCAGCCCAAAACGGAACTACCTAATAAAGACTCTGACAAATCCCTATCGACTTATCAGACGCGTCCGAAAGAGAAGTGCGTAATTTGAAAAAAGACGTTTATATATAAGTAATGCAATGTTAAGAAGTAGTTACATAGAATAACTACTTTGTATATGTTCCGATAAAATATTCCAATTTCCTGTAGGAGTCCTCACAGTTAGGTTAAACAAATTTTGGTGCGTAAATTCGTCTAAATAACAGTAAATCATCGTGTTTATTGGCTGATTCATCTCTCCGACCCTCTTTTATCGGTGACTCTAGAAACGTCCTATGTAATTTGTGTGGGTCCCATCGAAAGGGCTAACGAAATCATCCGTATTATTGACCACGTTATGAATATAGCCCACGGATGAGAGTTAACTACACGCTTTCTCCCTTTCAATGATCCTGTGGTCTAAGCAGTACTTAAATACTAGATATGGATGAAATTTGGTACATTATTCGTTTACGGCACCCATAATTTCGCCTATATACTACGGACTCTTCTGAATGGTTGCTCAAGGTCATTAAATTCATTCATTTTGGGTTGCTATAGTTTAGAGTCGTCCGTCGGTGGCATACTGGTTAGGACGTTCGCCGACCATGCACATGGTCCGGGGTTCGATCCCCGGCCGGCGAACTCCTTTACCTCACTAAGCCGGAACGAAAAGCTGGTGAAGACGAAAGGTTGGGCATGAGGCTAGCAACCCCATCCTGTAAAATTAAACACTACTACAGAAACTTCAAGTCATTAGCTTGAAGCCCTATCTTTAGAGTCACCGCGAATAACATACAAAACATATTAAGATATCTGCTGAGGGCGTTGAGAAGATATTAGATTTTGTCCACGTCTTCATCCAGAAGGATAATATCATCCACATACTCTAAATCTATGGAACTTTTCTACTGTGACAAGTGAATCAGTAGGTAGTTCGAATCGATGAGATTAAATCCACTGGTATATCTGTGATCAAGTTAAACAAAATGGGACATAGGACATCCCTAATTGGTACTACTGAATGTCATCATTTTGGATGACAACTTTTTATAAGCTCTTATACGGCTGCAAGAGTTCTAGTAGAGTGTAATGTGCCATCTTGACACCACTTTCACGGCCAAACGCTGTCACAAAACCTGTCGGCTGACCAAGCTGAATACCGTCTCCAGGTCAAGATATGTGGTAATTGTTAGACGCCAGTAAGTATGCATATGTTCCAGATTCTGAATAGGAGTGAATATTTGATCAATACACCCTCTCCCGGATCGAAAACCTGAATAGTTTTCATGGGTTTACTTCTCGCGAGCACCGCCTAGTCTACGCAGGCTTACTGAACCAAGAACTTTATATGCTATGTTAGTCATGCTTATCCCCTTGTGATTTTCACAGGAACACTTGGATACCTTCTTATAAACTAGGACAATCAATGATTTACACTAGTTCAATGGCGATATCCCAGACTCCTAGATATTGACTAATATCTTAGTTAACTCAGTCAATATCTCATCACTACCACCTTTAAACACCTTTGGAATCAATCCTGTTGCTTTACCTCGTCTCAGACTAGAGAGATACAGCATTAGTAACTGAATAACTATGTTTGGATGTTCGTATCAACTTGATAATAACTATTATTACGATTATTTAAATTATATGACTGTGTTATATCAAATGGACCTGTTTCTGCTGATGATGCAACTACACTAATTCCATGTTACAACCATGTTTTTTCAAAAATAAATAAGAATAAGACTGTAACAGACTATATCAGCTGTGAAATGAAAACTTTCTTCAAAATACTTTGCAGACTTCCCTCATCAACTTTGAAATAGGTGAATTTTTACCCTGGGATCTTGACTGGAAAAAGATTATGCGACACTAAGTGGTAAATGACATTTTTCAGTATCAAATGTTTAAGTAACAAATAATTTATCGGAACGATTTACTTCAGATTTAAGACTGGTATTTTCAGTTTACTGTATTACACGAGTCTCGTGGTCTGATGCCCACACGAACATAGCACAAACACTAGTAACTAGACGCACGACATCGGCTACACCCCAATGACCGATCATTATATCCACTAAAGTCCAATAGGGGATCAATTCTGAGTCGGAATAGTTCAGTGGTGACATCTCTGACTTCCTTATTGCGTGATATGGGTTCAAATTTCTGCGAGAACTTCACTTACTTTGAGGTTGGATATACGCCCTTCTGATGAGTGGTAAACCAGCACGAAATCTAGTAATGAGATTCCCTGTTGACTGCCTTTAGTTATCTAGACATTATTAACCAGACAGATAATAAGTGCATCAAAAACAAACAACTTTCAGGCATCCGTCTACGATCGTCTCAACCATGAGCATGAATAAGTTAAACATGTAACTTTATGGTGTGTAGTTATCTGAAAGATACAAATTTATTCCCTAAGATAGCTTTAACATGACTATAACACTGAACTGTTTGGTCAGAAATTATTTTAGATATCTAAAGGAATTACTTCTGTTTATAAATTGCGACAAAACGATGAGAAAATGTAAACTATCTAAAATGTGTAGTGTATTTTTGTGATCAGAATGTCTGAAATGTGTCGTGCACATACATTACACCTTTCGGACAAATTACGTCTTCTTATTTTTATATCAGGCATTTTCAGCTATCGGCTTACAAGGATTTGGTAGATTTCAAGTTCTATCATGAACTGATATTAGTAAAAGAATCACTGAAAACCAAGGAGTGCATGACAACTGCATCGTCCTAACTTCGGACTCTTCAACAGTACGCATTCATGACCTCACCGAAAATCAAACGCACAGCCTTCCGGTTAGGATACCAGTCTGTCTACTGGTCAGTCATTGAGAAGGAATCCAGTGGCCTATGAATTCTATGTATTGAGTATAATTCCATGAGCCGATCATCCTAGCAGATCATTCTAACTACCTCTTTAAAACCGTCTTTTGAAGTGGGAAAAAAATTAACAGAAAAGAATTTAAATTAACCTTATAAAAAAAACAGAATTTATGAGCTAAAAACACACTTTAATGTCCTACTAATTCATAAAAAAAGAAAGATATTCTCTTGATAATTTGCAAATAAATCACCAATAAGTGAAGTTGATGTACTATATTACCATTAGTAGAATACGTAATTATTATTAGTCATTCGAAAATTAGCTTTCCCCATTAATTTAATTTAGTCTTCTAGAAAATAATAAGTATACAAGTTGCTTCTATAATACTTTATTACAACAGTAGCTCAAAGAAACAGTTCCTTTGTTATTTTTCGAAAATAAGAACTGTACTTATTATCTAATACTCGATTTCATTACATTATTACTCTCTGTGTGGAGATCAATAGTACTCAGCAGGAAAAATAAGATCCAGACCTTCATCAACAGTTGTCTTCCCTCAATACTACTCAAGATCAGATGGTCGGCCAGAAAAGATCAGCAACAGGGATTTCTGGGAGCGAACCAACCAGGAACCAACTGTGCAACAAATATGCAAGAAGAAATGGAGTGGGATTGGTTTGGTCATACTCTGAGAAAACAAACCATCAAGTGAGTGATATCACACGCCAGGCCATCGCTCGAGTGGAACCCGAATCTGAAGCGGCGAATTGGTCGTCAGTGTGAGGGTGACATGGAAGAGGTGGTGGGAAGAGGAGATGAAAGCATGTTGGCAGACATGAAGCCAGGTGAAAACGTTGGCTGGGAACCGAACTCAATGTAGACGTGTGGCTGAAGCCCTATGTTCCTGTAGGAACTAAACGTGACCATATATAATATAATATAAATTCTACGAGGTTTTGTGGATATTTAGCACTGCAACAAAATCACTTTAACTCTCTAGTCGTCATTTCATTGTCAAAAAAAAAAAATTATTCATAAAATATCCGTGTTAAATTACGTATATAATCAAGAAATAAACTTACCAAGGCAATGTCAGTGTAATAGGAGAGATTGTGTTATCTGAACAAACAATGAACCAAATTTTGTGCACTTGTTTATTTTGTATAATGGATACATGTGTGTGTATAAACCTCTAGACAATTTGTTGTAAAAATATAATTTTATGACTAGTTCCTTTCTGGTTAGCATTCACACACACAGAGAAGAAAAATTAGTTTATTAGAAACACTGAAGGCTGATGACCGAATACGATAATGAGAAAGGGTTTGTTTAATCTATCCACTAATTTCCTGCATTTTGATTGGTCCATTCCGTCGCTAAACAAGGTGACACTGTTCACTAAGATAGTTATTCATAAGCTTATGAATAAAGGGGGATGGGGATACATATTTTGGTCACATTTTGTGTTAGGGTGTTTCTATCTAGTGAACAGGACGTTTAATCCACAAAAGCTACACTGCCTTAAGGTGAATACTAACCATGAACAAGGAAACAGCTAGAAAAATAATTTGACATTATGTATGAACAACACATCGAAGTCTAAAAGCCTCAATAACCTAAAAAAAATTTAAACATTAGAAATATTTAATTAATATTTCAAATTTTACTCATAAGTTTTATTATAAATCTTTTTTTAACAAACTGTCCAAACCCTCTTCGATATTCTTCAGTGACTCTGGGACATGAAGACTATCAGATATTATGAAAATGTAAGCGGTTATATGAAAGAGTACTTCGTACTTCACTTCTTCATACACCTTTCTATAACACTGTCATGCGTACTTGGAAGAATATCAAGACTTCAAGAATATTCAAATGAGTTCAGTATAGATGAAAACTGTCCTATTGGCACAGAAGTTGGTACTATAAGTGCAATTGTAATACCAAATCCTAAGTCTTCATCTAGTCTACTTTCATCACAGTCACAGATGAAACATTCAAATGAAAATGAAATTGGACAACTTGTAGGACTCACCTACAAACTGGGTTCACCATCTGCTTTGTTCAACATACATGAAAGAAAAGGTTTATTAACTACGAAAGCTGAAATTGATGCAGAAGCTTTATGCTATCAAGTAGTAAAATTAAATACAGAACAGATGGAAGACAGTGACACTTCAGTAATTGGTAAGTCTGAATTATTTTGATTAACTTTGTGGTAATTTGTAAAATATGTAAAAATAATTTACTTACCGACAGTTATTAAACTACAGGATGTAATATTTAAAACAGAAATTACATACACGGATCATTTTTGAACAAAGACTGCTGAAATTACTGTTTGGTCTGTGTTAGGTTAACTTGGAAGCTAACGTTTGTATTGCGGAGTTTTAGCAGTTATATAGGAAAGTGATTATGAGGTGGTGAGTCATGCAAACACTGGGATTCTTACTGTGCAGACTATTACCACTGAGTTGGACAACACTGAGACCGCTTGAGGAGGAGATTAAGGATTATAGGCAATCGTGATGGAGTCATCTAAAAAAGACTTCACAGTACAGAGTGAAGTGGAAATGTGCTGCGGAAACCGTATGTTCCACTCGAAACCCAAGGGGATAGTAATTATAATAAAATAATAAGATTTTTACCACAAAATTAATCATTCGTGTGTCGAATGTGATAGTGAGAAAATCAGAATAAATCTACTTTCAAGGAAAAACCACCAATATATATATATATATATATATATGCATAGGCATAACCTAAACTTTAGCACAGAATATCTGAGATACAGATTACTGTAAATATATCCCAGTCACAGGTTTCATGAACCGTGAAATGCTCTTATAGCATGACTACCTCTACCAGTAGGTATAAGTATGCAGCTAAGCTTAATAGACCCAAGAAGGCTGATTATGAAGGGCTTCGAACATGGCGAGGGGCGAAAGGCGCTCAAATGCGAACTGAATAAATGTCTCCGTAACACTTGTGAATATTGGTGGGTGAGAAGGAAAGGTATCGATGGTAGGTAATACCAGACAACTAGTTAAACTCATAAGATAAACGGGTTGGGAAAAATCAATGGTAAACGAAATAATCTCCTAGAAAAACAGTCCTTTAGTCTCCCCTTTGGACAGACTGTCGGAACGTTGGGGAGAATAGTTCAGCTGACGTACAACCACGTCAAGCATCCAGCACACACCTGAATGAAATGTACTCATCCGTCTCCCAGTTGTAATTGAAATTGCAAAGTCTGTCTGTAATCTGAAACGAGGCTAAGCGGTGGGAGCTGCTGGTATGACTACAGGAGTATTAAGGATGTTGATGATGAGTTTCTGAATGGGTTAACTAAGATGGTATTAAGTTATGTGTGGGAATCCGAGATAGTGTCACTGGACTGATGTAAATCATCCCAGTCTAAAGGAAGGGAGACAATTTTTCTATGATAATCACAAGGGGATAAGCTCTACCGACATGGGATATAAAGTACTAGGTTCAATGAGCATAAGTAGACTCAAGCAGCAGTGAAAGAGCTTGTGTAGAGTTCTATTCTTAAGTGATGGCAACCAATGTCATCCAATAGGGATATTCACTATAGATGTACTAATGGATCTGACCCAATGGATTTTACCGACTTAGTGGCTGACATATCATCATGGGACAGTTTCATAGATTCAGTGTTTGTGGATGATATTCTCCTTCTAGGTGAAGACAAAGACAAAATGCAAAGTCTACAGATCACCTTGAACGGGAATCTTACTAAGTCTGGCATGCGATTTGCTCCAGTCAAACATAAGATGACACTGAAGGACCGGTATTCACTTAATTTTAAGATAGGGAATGAAGTGGTTGGGCGTGCTGACCACTTCACTGATGTGAGAATTCACCTCAGCCCGATTGGACTGATTACTGACAAAATCTCAACACAGACACAAAAGGCTTATTTGGCACTTGCCAAATTACGTTATTCCTCGCACAGACATGATAGCCGGCCATCTATCAAAGCATAATTTAATCTGTCCGTCTTTGAGGCTGTGATATATGACCGTCGAAAGATATGAAAAGACTGCTTGCCTTTGATCATGGATGTTTGCATTTTATCTCCCGTGTTAATTGTCATAATACTGAGGTTAGGCATAGAGTGGAGTGTTCGGTAACAAAAGCAAAGCAGTCGATTAGATTGCGAAGCTGCATCTACTGAAGTGGCTAGGACATGGGATACGCATGCAGAGTCCTCGAATTCCTCATTGAGTATTGTTGGCTGATATAAGGTTAGGCTGGAAAGAGATATGAGTGGTCAAATCAAAACCTGGCATCAATCCATGAAATCTTTGGTTGTTGATTTGAATCACATGGAGAAGTGTAGACTGCCTGTTTGGAGTTCTTCGTTTTCCAAGAACCAGAAGCTGGAAACTGTTGATAATATATCTCCAAACCATTCTCAGTGGCTCACATACATTCACTCTTTATAGACTTCTAGATCGATTAACTCCTTGTTGTACTCCGTGCAATTATTCTTCCTCCCGTATGTTTCCACTGATCATAGTTCCTTGGGATTCTTTCTCCATGTCTGTGTGCTAAGACGAGTGTGGCGATTTGGACTGCTGCACTTTTGGGCAAATCTCTATATTGAAAAGTTAGCCAGTCATTACCTTTGATATATAAAAGTCGATATCAAAGCTTGGCAATTGCCAGGGAACTGGCCTCGAAATTATTTACCCGGTTTTATGGCCTATACTATACTTATAATACAGTTTGATAGACTGACAGTTCCCGTAGGAGTTCACACTGATTTGTCATGAGCATTTCCACTTTCTGTGAAACGTTTGGTAACGATTAAATAAGGTTATTCAGTTTTTCTGTTATCTGTTTGGGAAAGAAGTATAGTCCTATGATATCCCTTAAGATATCGAAGTCCGGATAAATGCCGATGTCACAAGTCACTTCTTTTTGCCCTTCTATAATTTAAAAAAAGGTTTACAATAAATCGAATACTTTTTAAATAAGCGTATCTCAACACAAGATGGAAACGATGAACAATCTAACATTTAATATCTTTGGTATAACTGTAGGCTTTCTCATTTGTATCCATAATCGAGACTTATTCAATATTATAAGCTAAATAAGTTGCTACTGTGAGTAAATTGGACAGGACCACTCGAAATCTCGCATCATTAGTGATACACGAGTATCAACATTCATTGATTTGCAGGCTTTTACTTTTTGCCGAGTTTGAGACGGAATATTTTAGTTTGCGAGAAGATATCTACTACTTGAGTTACATGACTTTTACATACAGAAGATTGGATTTTCCTTAAAAACAAGTGACTCTGTAGAAGACAGAATAGTTTCGAGTATTCAGGAACACGATTACCACTGATAGAGTTGTAAAACTGTTCATTAAATGGGGTAGCTCTTAATTGCAAACTCAGTATAAAGAACTCAATACATAGGAACACCATTTCAGTTACTCAAAATTTTCCTCATAATACAAGTGATTTCAACGATTCGAAATTACATAAAGTAGATTAATCCATTCTTTAAATTTCCAGGAAACGGTATAGAACCGCTTATAAGCGCTTTCTAGATCTTCATTATAGGAATCGGTGAAAGTCACTCTCATCACCCGGATAAGTTGTAACTATAAAGAAATCAGATATAACACTGTCCAAGTGTGCTGAATGGGAGTGCTCTACGATACCTTGTCACTGGCTAGAATCGTAAGCTAAATTAGTATCGTTTAATTTGAATCCAAAAATGAAGCTAAAAAATCTCTGAGACCATGGCATCAATAGACAATTCAGATAACATTTAAAAATGTCTCGAACAAAAGAGAAAGTACTACGTGATACTGGTCACTGTTTGAAATTTATTAACATGAAACAAATTTGTTTCATGAGTGTATATGCCTTTAAATCGGTTTGAACTTATTGTGACTACTTTTAAAAACTTTCCTTAGTCGCCTGTAGTTTACAATCCAGTTTAATAGTTGGTAATTTTATATTTCACTTGTTCGTACATTTTAGCTCCATTTGGATGCGCTTTCATCTTTCTGGTATTCTGATAAGCATTACGATTAAATCTGTTAAGCAAGCAGTTTGTGCAGCTTGATCTGCTCATCAAAGTTGATGATATGTTTATACAGCAACCCAACCCTTTACCACAAAATTATTGCTCTGTTGACTGAATATTATCTCCTTTTCGAGAGGTTGGAAAGAGTCGTAACAGATGCCATTTCACTTGTTATTGTATAATCCACCTTCCACCTACTACAATCATTTTTATTTAGGTGTACCAGTAACTTTATTTCGTTGCAGTAGAAAGCCAGGTAGCCTTCCACTATAATCCTGAGTTATTCTGTATATAACAGTGCTAAGTATCATTACAGATATCTCCTTAAAACAATAGGGACTGAAGCCCGAAGTAGTAGTAACATTGGGCTAAAAGTTATACTTAAAGGTGGTTTAAATGATAGTTATCATATGAAATATCTGCAAGCTTTTTAAGAATGAAGAGTAAGCTTTGCCAGCAGTAATCTGAAGGACTAAAAGTAATTAAATAGTGCTATCTTTACTATGTAATTTATGCAGTAAGCCTTTCAGTATACTTAAAGTTAGTTGGATGACCATCTGAAATGTTAACACAGACATGGATCTCAACAGAATCCAAACCAATGGACCCTTAAGTTTCATTCAAACTATACACAGACCGAATAGATTATCACATATTTCATTATCAAGTTGCATAAACCTTCTAACCTAATTGGGAATCATTAGATTCACCAAATCTCAAGTAAGATAATAAAATAAAGCGAAAACTCTTCACTCCAATAGTTAAGGCATTTAGTACATGGAGTGTGGCAACTCGAACTGCTGTACATCTGGGCAAAGTTCTACGTTGAAACCAGTCAGTTAGAAGGTATTAAGAATAACCCACTATAGCTGGACATAAATATGACGCTTTACTAAGAATGTTCCATTCAAATTAGAACATTCTAGGAGACTCATGTGTAGAATCCTTTTCCACTACAAAGAGAATAAGCGAAGAATTGTGGTGTTTCGTGGTTTTCAATGCTTCTTTGATTAGCATTATACTGTGATGAATAGACACTATCTTCAAAGTGAAAATAAACTGCTCATTATTTATCTAGAACTAAACTTGATTTTACAGTTATCTGACTGAAATTC